CTCCTCTGATAACTGCTAGTCTGTCTTCCTTATTGATGTGTTTATCTTCCAGATAGGTGTGAAATCATATGGTATTTGTCTTTCTTTGTCTGACTTATTTCACTTAGCATAATGTCCTCAAGCTCCATCCATGTTGTTACAAATGGGACAATTTTGTCTTTTTTATGGCTGAGTAGTATTCTATTGTGTATATATATATATATACATACATACACCACACCTTCTTTATCGATTCATCTGCTGATGGGCACTTGGGTTGATTCCACATCTTAGTTATTGTAAATAATGCTGCGATAAACGTAAGGATGCATAAGTCTCTTTCAATTTCTGATTTCGTGTTCCTTGGATAAATATCCAGCAGTGGAATAGCTGGATGGTATGGTATTTCTATTTTTAAATTTCTGAGAAATCTCCATACTGTTTCCCATAGTGGCTTCACCAGTTCACATACCCACTGGCAGTGTATGAGGGGTCCCTTTTCTCCACATCCTCCCTCTCCAACCCTTGTTATTTCTTGTTTTGACAATTATAGCCATTCTGACAGGTGTGAGGGGATATCTCATTGTAGTTTTGATTTGCATTTTTCTAATAATTAGTGATGTTGCATGTCTTTTCATGTGCCTGTTGTCCATCTGTATATCTTCTTTGGAAAAATGTGCCTTCCCATCTTCTGCCCATTTTTTGATGGGGTTGTTTGTTTTTTGTTGTTGAGTTGTATGAGTTCTTTATATATTTTGAGAATTAACCCCTTGTTGGATATATGATTTGCAAATATTTTCTCCCAGTTGGTGGGTTGTCTTTTCATTTTGCTGATGGTTTCCTTGACATGCAGAAGCTTTTTAATCTTAGGTACTCCCAATTGTTTATTTTGTTTTCCTTACCTGAGTAGACTTGGTATTTGAAAAGATACTGCTAAGACCAATGTCAGTGAGCATACTGCCTATATTTTCTTCTAAGAGTTTTATGATTTCAGGTCTTACATTCAAATCTTTAATACATTTTGAGCTAATTTTTGTGTATGGTGTAAGGCAATGATCTGCTTTCATTCTTTTGCATGTGGCTGTCCAGTTTTCTCAACACCATTTACTGAAGAGACTTTCCCATCTCCATTGTATGTTCTTGGCTCCTTTATCAAAGAGTAGCTGTCCATAGATGTGTGGTTCTATTTCTGGGCTCTCAGTTCTGTTCCATTAATCCATATGTCTATTTTTCTGCCAGTACCATGCTGTTTTGATGACTATAACTTTGCAGTATAGTTTGAATTCAGAAAGTGTGATACCTCCAACTTTGTTCTTCTTTCTCAGGGTTGCTTTGGCTATGTGGGGTCTTTTGTTGACCCATATAAATTTTCAGATTCTTTGTTCTATTTCCACGAAGAATGTCATTGGGATTCTGATTGGGATTGCAGGGAATCTGCAGACTGCTTTAGGCAATATGGAGATTTTAACTTTGTTTATTCTTCCAATCCATGAGCATAGAATATCTTTCCATTTCTTTATGTCATCATAGATTTCTTTCAACAATGTCTTAGTTTTCAGTGTTTAGGTTGTTCACCTCCTTGGTTAAATACATTTCTAGCTATTTTAATCTTTTTGTTGTGATTGTAAATAGGATTGCATTCTTGAATTCTCTTTCTGCTAGTTTGTTATTGGTGTATAGAAAGGCAACTGATTTTGTATGTTATTATGGACCCTGCAACTTTGCTGTAGTTGTTGATTATTTCTAATAGTTTTCTGGTGGATTCTTTAGGGTTTTCTATATATAGAATCGTGTCATCCACAAATAGTGAGAGTTTTACTTCTTCCTTTCCTATATGGATCCCTCTTATTTCTCTTTTTTGCCTAATTGCTCTAGCTAAAATTTCCAGTACTATATTGAACAAGAGTGGTGAGAGTGGGCATCTTTGTCTTGTTCCTGTTCTCACAGGAATGGCTGTCAGTTTTTCACCAGTGAGTATGATGTTAGCTGTGAGTTTATCATATATAGCCTTTATTATGTTGAAGTACTTTGCTTCTGTATCCATTTTATTCAGATTTTTTATCATGAATAGATGTTTAATCTTGATGAATGTTTTCTCTGCATCTATTGAGATGATCATGTGATTTTTATTCTTCATTGTGTTAGTGTGGTGTATCACATTGATTGATTTGTGTATGTTGAACCATCTCTGCAACCCTGGAATAAATCCCACTTGATTGTGGTGCATGATTCTTTTAATGTATTGATGAATTTGATTTCTAATATTTTGTTGAGGATTTTTGCATCTACGCTCATCAGGATATTGGTCTGTAATTTTCCTTTTTTGTGCTGTCCTTGCCTCGTTTTGGGATCAGGGTAATGTTGACCTCATAGAATGAGTTGGGAAGTGTTCCATCTTCTTCAATTTTTCAGGAATAGTTTGAGAAGGATAGGTATTAAATCTATGAATGTTTGGTAGAATTCTCCAGAGAAGACGTCTGGTCCTGGACTTTTGTCTCTAGGGAGGTTTTTGATTACTGTTTCAACCCCTTTACTAGTGTTTGGTCTATTCAGATTCTCTATTTTTCCTTGATTCAGTTTTGGGAGGTTGTACGATTCTAAGAATTTATCCATTTCTTTTAGGTTATCCAATTTGTTGGTATATAGTTTTTGATATTATTGTCTTATAAACCTTTGTATTTCTGTGGTGTCCATTGTAATTTCCCCCCTTTCATTTCTGATGCTGTTTATTTGAGTCTTCTCTCTTTTTTTTCTCAGTGAGTCTAGCTAAGGCTTTGTCCATTTTGTTTATCTTTTCAAAGAACCAGCTCTTAGTTTCATTGATTCTTTCTATTGTTGTGAGATTTTTTAATGCTACCTTACACATTTCTAATCACTCTTGATTTTGCCTGAGATAGAAACTGAATTAAACGCAAGAGTTTCTGTGAGTTTGGTATCTCTCAGTCAGCTAGAGGGAAATGTCTGGGCAATCTTAAAACCACCTGATTGGAGACTTCCATCCAGATTTTCAGATTAACTGAATGAGGCTAGTCTCCAGAAGGACCACAGAAGCAAATCATTCACACAGGTATATGACAATGGTTTCATCGAATTAGTAAACATAGAGTAAAACAGGAAGAGGAAGAGAACTACATCTCTAGCTAGCCAGTTCTTGAGGATCACTCATGCCCCAGTCTATTTAAAGCAGGATTTGTCAAAAGCTGGTTTAAGAATTGTTGGTCCACACATACTCTCTCTTGAAATGTATTGATCCTAGATGCTTTTTGTTCATCTGTTTCTTTCTTCCTTATCAGTTCCATAGCACTTTGTATTTTCCATGGTGCTCTTACAATCAGGCACCTCATTTTTGCCCCACCAATAAGTTCGGAAAATAGTAAGGGCAGAGAGAATTTTCATTTAACAGATAAAGTTAAAGCAGAAAAATGGAATGTCTTGTCTCATTTTAGGTCATGAGTTGGCAATCAACCTAGAATTAGAACACAAGTCTCTGACCGCTGGCCCAGTGATGTGTACATAAGTGGATAATACACTATAATCAAAGGCCTATTATCTGAGATGATTTTTAAGTTCTTTTTGGACATAACAAATATATTTACATGGGAGAAACCTTTATATCACTTGATTTTCAAGCTCTTTTCAACCAGGGATTTTTTTCCAAAACACAGGAGAAATAAGAATACAGCATTCAGGTGCCAGCCCTGTGACCCAGCAGTTAAGTTTACACGCTCTGCTTCGGCAGCCCAGGGTTTTGCCAGTTAGGATCCTGGGCGTGGACACGGCACTGCTCATCAGGCCATGCTGAGGTGGTGTTCCACACAGCTCAACTAGAATGACCTACAACTAGAATATACAACTATGCAGTGGGGGGCTTTGGGGAGAAAAGGAAAAGAAAAAAGAGAAGATTGGAAACAGATGTTAGCTCACCTGCCAATCTTTAAAAAAAAAAAGAGTTCTGCCCTGGATATGATTGTTAAAAGAAAAAAAGAATACAGCATTTATATGCAAGCTCTATTTTTCCTGCTGTTTTAGTAACAGTAAACTCATTTCTTAGTCTTTCTCAAAATTCAGCAATTATACTTGTTACTCTTTTTCATCAGGATTCAGAGACCAAAGAATGTATTTTAAAAAGCTTATTAACAAATAATTTATGTTCACCTTCAATATATAAGGAAGATATAAATAGTATGCAATCATAAAAAGTACATATTGTAACTACTGCTAAATAATATCTGATCAAACTTTTCCCTATTTATTACTGTGTCTCATAGTTTGGAATATTTGTACAATGCAATCCCAGACTCAGCTATAGGACAAAGGCAGCAGCAATCAACTATTCATCCTTTACTTAGTAGGTCCTGCCTATGTGAAAGAGACCTGGTTGATTATTAAAGGAGATAAAAAGAAGCAGAAAAGTTAATTCTTGGACTTCAGGGGCTTCAACATAAAGTTCAGTGATAAGATATCCTAGAAAGAACGATCTGGATTTCTGACAGTGTTAGGATCACATCAGAGTCTGTTCTAGGACTCAAAACGATAAACAAACCAAAACAAAAACAAAAGACCATTTACTAAGCATTTACTAAAGTAATATAGTACATACTTTATCTCTTCAATTTAGAACAAAGCCCTGAGGGAACCAGGTACTACTTTTTGCTCATTTTACAGATGATGATGTTGACACTGAAAGATTAAATAACCACCTACCATTTCGAGAATGGGAGGTCAGGTGTTGAACTCACGTTGGGAGAAGGCATCAAGAGTCTGTGTTCTTAAACATTACACTCTTACATCTTTCATCTATATACTCAGAATATTTCCTCTTTTGGAATTCCATAAAGATCAAAACAGTTTATTTTGTTACCAGAAAATTTCAATGATTATCCGTAATTAAGGGACAAACCAACCGACCAAATAAAGGAATCAGTAAAATGACGAGGTGGGAGGAATGAAAAGGAGATTGAGCAAAGTAATGGTTCTATTCATGGATGAATCCTGGTTCCTGCAGTGGGATGTGTACTTACGAGACTTTTTGGTGGTAACGTTGACTGGGGGGCTTGAGGGCCCTGTCCCAGCAGTGTTGTAAGCTCTCACGGAAGCAAAGTAGACAGTGTTAGCTTTCAGCCCTGTGATGTTTTTGGTTGTGACATTTCCGCTCACTCTAGTTTTACCAATCATGGATTCCTTGGAGTCATCTGTCCAGTATAAGACCTGGTGATTAAAAACAAAGAACATGCAATTCATTGTTTCCCAACAACTATCACCCACACTGGGATATGGGAAGAAGACAGGAGCAGAAATGGCAGAATATTTTCGAATTAAAATAGTTATACAACAGCAACAGAATAATCAAAGTCTAATATTCATAGAGAAGAAATTTAAAAAGTTACAAATTCACAATGGAAACTAGAGACCTTGGTTTAAGGAGGTTTAGAATTAAACTTTCATTCTAAAATAAAATAAACCATGTTACCCATTTTGTGAATCATTGGATTTACAAGTTAAAGGTACAAGAAGTGATGAATGAGTCTCACCCCTTAACTTTGTGAGAATGAACGCCCATATATGTGAAGTGATTTGCCTCATTCTATATAGAATATGAATGACAGATTTAGAAGAATCTAGGATTTTTCTATCTTTTCCAAGATAACTAATTCTTTTCAAGTTGTGCTCCAATTCTCAGAGCAGATTTACCAGTGAAATTTTTCTATGGTTTAAGATCTTCGAGGACTAGATGTTTACTTCTCCCCAAAAACAAATATCATTGCGATTTAAATAATTAAATAATATAAGCAACTGATCACTTTCTAAATGCTAACATTTGTCATTTTGCTGGTTAAAATCACCTGGAAAATGAGTGGGTAAAGAAGATGTGGTATATATGTGTGTATACATATATATACACACATATATATGTATATGTATATATATATACACACACACACACAATGGAATACTACTTAGCTATAAAAAAGAATGAAATTTTGCCATTTGTGGCAATGTGGATGAAACTTGAAGGCATTATGCTAAGTGAAATAAGTCAGATGGAGAAAGACAAATATTGTATGATTTCACTCTTACGTGGAATCTAAAAAAAACAAAACAAATAAACAAAATGAAAACAAAAACTCAAACTCAAACTCATAGAGAACAGATTGATGGTTACCAGAGAGGAAGGAAGCTGGGGGTGGGCAAAATAGGTGAAGGGTGTCAATTGTGAAGGACTGTGCCAGATTTTGCTGATGATTCCTTTATAGTGTATACAGATGTCAAATTATAATATTATATAGTTGAAATGTACATAATATTATATACCAATTTTACCTCAACAAAAAAAAAAGGAGAAAAAAATCCACTGAAAAGACCCCTCCACTAATGCCCCTCTCTAGCATTAGACATATATTATTAAATACTAAGAACAAGGTTAGTGGTATAAGACTGTTAAACAGGAGCTATTGTGCAGTTAGCTGGCATGTTCATAAGGAAAAGTGAAACTAATGTGGATTACCTCATAGCCCAGCACTCTTCCAGTGTTTCTATTCCAGGCAATAGCATTCCACGAAACCTCCATTTCTGAAGCAGAAAAACTTTGGACAGAAGTTCCCCTTGGTGCTAGCTGAGGTTCTACCATCCAGAGAAAGACACAACTATCTTCAGCAGAGTGGTTCATGGAAAATGAATGCAAGATACTCATACAGTCTCAAGGAAGACCAGGCTGACTGCAACTTACCGTCTTCCCCAGAGTAGACAATGGACACGGTACTCAGTGATCCTTCTCCTTCCTTATTGTACACACCCACTTTGACTTCAAAGGGAGAGAGGGGGATGATGCTTTCGTTTCTGTAAACAAACCTTGATGATTCCACAGATGGCACTCTTTCCTTGATCCAGGTTGTTGAGCCAACTGGCCGCAACATGATGATGTATCCAAATTCCTCTCCATTCTGTAGTTCTTCTGGAATTGACTTGGGCAGAAGTGATCAATCACTGAGCATTTACAAAAATATTTTATAGAGCTATTATAATGTTTATTGATTATTTACCTTATCTTTTATAGAGACAATCATGGATATTTACCCTGTTTAATGAATTGTTGAAAAAAATACTTTTATTTGGAATGCCAATTAGGAAAATGATCCCAATTTAATATGCTCAGATAAATAAATTAAAATTTTAAATGGAAATGTAAAACAGGTTTTACATGTTTATACCTGTTGCCATGGTTGTTCATGAGTTGTGATAATAAAATGGTTTAGAAGATTGCAAGATTTTATAAGTTAAAACACAATTTTGATATGAATTTTTTTTTTGAGGAAGATTAGCCCTGAGCTAACATCTGCTGTCAATCCTCCTCTTTTTGCTGAGGAAGATTGGCCCTGAGCTAACATCCGTGCCCATCTTCCTCTACTTTATATGTGGGACGCCTACCACAGCATGGCTTGCCAAGCAGTGCCATGTGTGCACCCGGGATGCGAACTGGTGAACCCTGGGCCAACGGGCCAGTCCCTTTGATATGAATTTTTAAACTCAGCACAAAATTAACTTATTAACTATTTCAAGGCTAACTATGTTTTCCTTTCACAAAACTTTTCAACAAATTCTTGTAAGATACATGTAATATAATTTTTGCATAATAACATTTGCTTTAAGGCATATAGAGTGTTACTCAAACACAAAAGTATAAAGGACCTCTGAGTATTCTTTAAACATACACCTTCATTAGTAGTAACATTGGTGTGTACTTCTCCCAACATTAAAAAAAAAAAAAACTTTCCTAATTCCCACAGACAACAAGTTCTTTAAGATTCATTTAAAACCTGAACTTATTAAATTTACAAAACAAAAATAGATACAAGCTCCCCAGAACTCTACAGATATTAAAAATTATAAATAAACACATAAAATAAAAACATGAAAATAAATTTGCCTTGAATTTAGACAAATATCCCACCTGTTTATAAGAAAGTTGTATTTAAAAATCTATGGAATTTATTTAGTTCTTCCGAAGGAAAATACTTTTCTCTTCCTTTATTTCTCTTTCTAAGTAGTTTCATAGACTAATAAAGGCATACTGAGTAGGACATAGTGTTTGAGCCTCTCATGACCATAATTCCGTTTGTAAGGTTTTCCCTATCCATAGGTATCCATTCATTGTATCACATTATCCTGTGACTTGGACCACATTTACTTACCCAGCAATAGGAACCAGAACCAAAGATACCACCTTGGTCACTATCTATGAGGTGTTCTTGTGCATAATCTCTGTATTCTATAGTGACTAATACACCCAATCAATTCCTTTCCCCTACAGAGTTTGAATATGAAACATAGGTATGCAAGGGTAATAATAGATGAACATAGAGCAGGCAATAAGTAGAAAACATACAGTCATAGGGCCACTGAGGCAGTGGAAGCTAAGGGAAATTGAAGCTATAAATTATATAGAGAAGAGATAAAATTTAGCTGTTAACTAGGTAGAAAATTGGAAGTAAAGGAAATGGGAAGAACTGAGGACTGTTGGAGCTAGGGCTGGATTACCAGAGTAGCTGATGGCAGACTATGGTGCTCAGAACAGCGATGAATAATGTGTCAGTTCTTCATTTGACCTGCCTGCTTGGTTACTGAGACTTTTTCCCATGCTCATTACTTCCCATGTAGCTTTAAAATAAATCCCCATTAACCAAGATGACCTGAGCTGGTGTCTATTTCTTGCCATGTGGAACAGTCTAACAAATACAGACAGTGACGGGAGAAAGAAAAATATAGGTCCTGAAATCTGAGGAAAGGAAATGCTTCCTTGAATGAACATTTCTCTTTTACAGGGAGATCAGAATTAAATCAGTTAAGTTTGAGTGGTATGGAAGAGATTTCTGAGAATTTAAGCTATTTACTAGAGCATTTGATTTATTTTTGATGTTTCTCTGATGTCAGATTTAATCAAGATGTTTGGTTCATCTAAGAAAGTGGAGAGAGGACTTTTGTTTTTGTTAGTCAAGTACAATTAGTGTTTCTCATGGTGTTCCCTTCACAAAGATCTGAGTCCAATATGTTCAGTTTAGAGGGGAAAAAAAAGGAGACTTATTTAGGTTCTTACTCCTATTCTTTTCATATGGGCAGAGAGCCAAATGATGGAGAAATATATACAGCTATTTAAGATGGCCAGAAAGAGTTTTCTTTTTTAAGCACAGAAGTGGTCAGTAGAATAAGGAAATTCAGGGATTCTTCTAATAATGAAATCTATTAAAATTGATAAAGGCTGGTAATACAATTTTCAACCACAGTGTCTGTAACAACTAGATCTTTAGTATAGACCAAGAGTCAGCATACTATGCCCTTTGAACCAAATCTTGCCTGCAGCCTGGTTGTAAAAGTAAAGATTTTTGGGAACAAAGTCACATGTGTTTGTTTACATATGGTATATGATATATCACTTTTGAATGATAATGGCATGACGGAAAAGTTGTGAAAGAGACTATGAGACCCCACAAAGCTGAATATTTTCCATGGCTGGCCCTTTACATAAAAAATGTATCAATTCCCAGTATAGGCTTTTATCTCTTACTCTATAGTACTTTATCCTATACACCTAATTTGATAATCATATATATGAGATAGTCAACTCAAGCACCTCAAACTTGGAAGTATTTGAGAGTACGAATTATGATAAGATATGAATAAAGAAACCCTTAAAAAAGGAATTAGCAATTACCACATTCCAAAAGTCAGATATCATGTTTAGGTTATTGGAAACAAAACAAACCAAAACAAATAAACACAAAATAGAGATTACTGTGGCACTGGAGAAAACACAGGGAGGACGTTTCTTTCAGGCAGATTATACCACAGTGTGTTTACATGAGCAGCAATCTGGGATAACCAGTAAAGCTGTCACTTAGAAACCATAATGGTGGATTCTGACTGAATTTACAAAGGTCGTTGGATCCACATTAGTTTTGAAAGCCCAGAGGGTACTATTTCATCCATACTAGCAGTGACATTGGCCAGGAATAGTCTCTCTACCCTCGGGTTCTTTTTCCAAACATAGTTTAGACAAACTATGATGGTGCCTTTCCTGACCTCCTTCCAGGCTGGGTTAAGACTGCCCTGTTCTGTTGGCCTCTGAGCATTCAGACTTTTGTAAAATGCGTTTTTGTACCCCCACTGCTTGCATCAGAGTAGCTACTCATTATTGTTCATTGAATTGATGGAGTTACTACATGCCTTCTGTTGGCTTGAACTAGTATGCATCTCCTCCTAAATACATATAACTTATTCCTTAAAGAAGTTTGAGCACTAGAAGAATTTGGCTCAGTAACTGTGTGTACGTGATGCCAAATGTGAATGAAATGGGAAATTGCATCCATTAATGGAGTTTCTGCAAGCATCTGCATATCTGATATCCCAAGGAAAAACACACAGAAGAAATGACTTTAATTTTTTTAAAATAGAGGTCAGCTTTCTGTAGAGGGCTAGCTAGTAAATATTTTAAGCATTGGGGGACATATGGTCTCATGCAACAGCATGACAGCAGCAATATGTAAAACATACAAGAATAGGTATGGCTGTAGACAAATTTGTGTATTAAAACAAGCAGCAGGGCAGATTTGGTCCTTGCTTAAATGAAAAGGACACTATAAATCATGTAAAGATTTTTTTTTTGGTTATTCACATCATCTCTATTTAAAAATACTATACATAGGATTTCCCATCCCCCTCATATGTAGACTATGTACAAACAATTTTTTACCGACCTTTAGTAATTTCTGATCATGGAGGAGAAAAAATAAGGTATGAAGTCAGGCAAAACTCCCCATACACTATGATGAAAGGTCTATGTGGCCTTCAAAGAACATTGAAACCTAAACAGCCTACTCCCCAACACACGAAAGCAATTCACTTGTCGACTCACTTGAGAGTCAAGGCTACTGTGGGAAATGTGTTCAGAGGATTGGAATAATTTGATTAGCTTACTACTGAAGGCAGAAACACAGGGACTCTCGCCCTCCCTGAACCATGGCATCACATAAGGACAACTGGAATTCTAATTTAGAACAAAATAGAAGAGCATGGAGTGAGAGCCCTGTGACCAAATGCTACTTTGCCCACCACCTATATCACATTTCTGAGTCTCCATCCATTTTCTTATCTGAAAGAGGCATTATGCACCTCCAAGCATTGGGGTGAGGCCTGAATGACATGAAATGCCCACTGCAGCGCCTGAAGCCCTGTAAGTGCTCCACATGTGAAGCCCTCTCTCCCTCAGGCCTCTGAGAGTTCCATCTCTCTTAATACACATCTTTCCACCCAACATGTACTTAGCCAGGTCACACTACCTTCCAGGCACTGTGCGGGGCCCATAATGTCTACGTGAAACTAGACATCCAGAAGAAAGGAAGACTTTTATAACAGCTGAACCTGGTTTCTGGCTCTGTCATTTAGAACCTTGAGAAAACAATATCTCTGTGTCCCAATTTCCTCTCACATAAAGAGGATTTAATACTACTATACTCTCTATCTTTAATGGAATTTTGTGAGGAATAAAATGGGCCATATATATAAAAGGTCTTTTACTACTATAAAACCATTTACAGATGCAGTGAATTACACTTATTCAACAACATGGTTTCTCAACTTCGGCATTATTGACGTGTTGGGCCAGATAATTCCTTGTTGTGGCGGACAGTCCTGTGCATTGTAGGATGTTTAGCAGCCTCCTGGCCTCTACCCAGATGCACCTCTCCCCTTAATTATAACCATTCAAACATGCCCTCAGACATTGTAAAATGTCTCCTGAGGGTTGAAATCATCCCCACCTTCCACTGAAAACAACTCTACTAGATATCAGCCTTGATGGTTTTTAATTCAAACATCCATGGCTATCATGTTCTTAGGTGCAATATTAAAATGTGGAAGGAAATAAATATTTTTTATTTATGAAAGTTATCACCAAAATGTCAAAAATGCATACACTGGGCAATGAAATAGGGCAGGGCTCTTTTATCAGTTACAGCTGAGGCTCCAAGCTGATAACAAAGGCATGAAGTGCCATGCATTCCAAAGAGAGACATCAATCCATTTACATAAAGGGCTGCCTGGTAAAACTTAGCCTATCACCCACGACAAATGTACATAAAGGGAGTGCTAGTTTGCTTAGGGAGAGATTAATTGGAAAATATTTCTTTTGAGATAGTTATAGAAAAAGCTGTGCATTCCCACCCCTCCAGCAAAGGGAAGTAAAGGGATTCCTTCTTACCCATCACCTCACCAGGTGAAGAGGCTTCAGAAAGAACCGCACAGTATGTGTTCTCTGGAATTTGGGAGATGTAGGTTCTTTTAACAGACAAATTCCTAGAAACTTCTAAAGAGGAGAGAGATCTGGACAGCGTATGGTGGCAGAGCGAAGAGAGAGGCTAGGTGGGCATGCAGTGCACTCCCAGTAAACCTGGAGCAAAGGTGTGTGTTTGCTCAGGGCAAGTGTGGAACCCCTGCAGGGATGCTGTCCATGAGCAGCCTTGGAGGGGACTCTATTCACAAAGACCACCTAGAGTAGGGAGAGAACCTCCACCAGAAGAGGCTGGACGTGGACCACAAGAGTTCGGGAACTGAGGAGATTTTCAGCAGCCAGTTGGGCCTGCACCAAGGAATTGCCACTAGAAGTGTCAGTATGGGATCTTCTGGATGTCTCACTTCCTCCAACCAAAAAACAAAACAAAACAAAAATACAACTACCATATGAAATAGCCAGCATCTGATCATTTGCCATTCGTGGACTACACCCAAGTCCAATTACAAATGTACCAGCAATCAGGACCTTTTCTATCCCTTTCCTCTTCTCCCAACCACAATCTGCTACAACAGTGGAGAGGCTAGAGGTAAGCTAGTAAATGTGGAAGGAGACATTGAACAGCAGAATAGAGAAAAGGTAAGGAACTGACCGGTCAGTCTCTTTTACTCTCTAGAATTCCTAGGACAAGACAGGCCTGAGCTAGTGGAAATGAGACACCTTACATTGGAGGAAAGTCTAAAGTTTATGATAATAAACTAGGCTGAAATTTTTAATAAGTACAAAAATGAGCTTATATGTTAACACTTAAGAATAATGACCATAAAAGCTATTCCATCCGCCTAAGCTTTCATCTAGATTCAGGGAAGAACAAGTTGGAAAGATTTAATGAGCAATGACAGGAAAAGAATTGTTTTCCCCTGCACTCTACTGAGCCTAACTCATGCACAATAGAATTGTTTCAGAAGTAATAAATAAAATAATTTCTAGTTCATCAAGTAATAATGAAAATGCTATTGATCCACCTTCAATAGACGTTGAAGTTTTTTTTCTTATATCTGGGAGAAAATTGTACTGAGTTAGTCATACTCTCTCACTCTAATGCAAATAAAAGTGTCTAATACCCCCTCTAAATAATGTATCATCGGGAGTCTTTCACATCACGTATTTTTATATATTCTCAATAGTGATTAAATAAATCTTCTTTTTGTTTTTCAGGATTCTTCCTGGGCAGCTAAATCTTTTTCCTTCAAAATGACTCAGTTGGACAGAAAATTACCTCCCACGTAATGACGAGTTCAGACCGACTTCCTCCACCTCCATTGATATTTGTTGGTGCCACGACCGGGACTAAAAGCAACCAAAAGAAATGTGGGATAGCAATTATTAAAGTACGTTTTCATCAGGAAGAATTTTGTTTTTGAATTCCACCTTTCAAAAATCTCACGCAGGTACATTGTGAGAGAGTCTTGCATTTTTAATGAACACAAATTATGTTTACACATATCCAAATTTCCAAGAGAGGACACAGTTGTGTTTGATACATGAGCACCCTGGCTCCAAAATTAATTAAAAATCGAGTAACATCGTGTATTTGACATTATTATGCATCATCTACTAATTGGCAAAATGATGTTCCATTCAGATGGTAACAGTGACACTGCTGATTTAGTGCCTAATTATACAGTTGTGCTGTAAACAAGTTATTGAGGCAGTATATTAATTAATTCTTTTTTTCAATAAACAAACTAAAATAATTTTCCTTTTTTTAGTCATCAGGATATTTTAACATTTAAAAATAAATTCTTCAAAAATATATAAATAAATTCTCCTTTTATAATTCTGTGTTTGATTCTTAAATCTTTCAGTACAGAACAAGACAGACTTTTCCTCTGAATTTTTTCTGACAAAGTAAGATGTTCTCCTTTCAAGGATGTGATCGAGGGGACTCCCTGTGTTTAACTCTAAGACTCTAAGGCTCTGTGATAGTATGTTCCAGACACTGAGCATTTTTATGAATTAGAAAAAAATTGTGTATTGAGTATATTTTCTATGCTGTATATTATATCCCCATGACTTATTTTGTAACTAGAAGTTTGTACCCCTTAATCCCCTACACTTATTTTGCCCACTCCCCCATTCCTCTCCCCTCTGGTATCCAGTAGTTCGTTTCTTGTATCTATGAGTCTGTTTCTGTTTAGTTTTATTTGTTCATTTGTTTTGTTTTTTAGATTCCACATATAAATGAAACCATACAGTATTTGTCTTTGTCTGACATCTCCCTTAGCTTAACACCCTCTAGATCCACCCACGTTGTTGCAAATGTCATAAGATTTCATCAATTTTTAGGGCTGAGTAATATTCAATTATATATATATATATATATATATATATATATATATATAGCATGTCTTCTTTCTTGATTCATCTATTGATGGACACTTGGGTTGTTCTGTATCTTGTTTATTGTAAATAATGCTGCAATGAACATAGGGGTGTATCTCTTCAAATTAGTGTTTTTGTATTCTTTGGATAAATATCCAGAAGAAGAATTGCTGGATCATATGGCAGTTCTATTTTTAATTTTTTGAGGAAACTCCACACTGTTTTCCATACAGGTTGCATCAACTTACATTCCACCAACAGTGTATGAGAGTTCCCTTTTCTCCATATCCTCATCAACACTTGTTTTTTGTGCTCTTTTTGATGATAACCATTCTGACAGGTGTGAGGTGGCATCTCATTGTGGTTTTTATTTGCATTTCCCTCTTGATTAGTGATGTTGAGCATGTTTTCATGTGCCTGTTGACCATGTGTATGTCTTCTTTGGAAAAATGTCTATTGAAGTCTCCTGATTATTTTTTAAGCAGGTTGTTTGGGGCTTTTTTTTTTTTTTTGATATTAAGTTGTGTGAGTTCTTTATGTATTTTGGATATTAACCCCTTATCAGATATGTGATTAGCACATATCTTCTATTCCGCAGATTACCTTTTTGTTTTATTGATGGCTTCCTTCACTCTGCGAAAGCTTTTTACTTTGATGTAATCCTATTTGTTTATTCTCACTTTTGTTTCCCTTGCCCAAGGAGATTGATCCAAAAAAATGTTGCTAAGACCGATGTCAAAGAGCTGACTGCCAATGTTTTCTTCTAGGAGTTTTATGGTTTCAGGTCTTACATTCAAGCCTTTAATCCATTTTGAGTATATTTTTGCATAGGTGTAAGATAGCGCTTCAGTTTCATTCTTTTACGTGTAGCTGTCTAGTTTTCCCAGCATCATTTATTGAAGAGATTGTCTTTTCCCCAGTGTGTATTCTCGTCTCCTTTGTCATAGATTAATTGATCATGTATTCACGGGTTTATTTCTGGACTCTCTATTCTATTCCATTGATCTATGTGTCTGTTTTCATGCCAGTACCACACTGCTTTGACTACTATAACTTTGTGCTATAGTTTGAAATCAGGGATTGTGATACCTCCAGCTTTGTTCTTTTTTCTCAAGATTTCTTTGGTTATTCAAGGTCTTTTGTGGTTCCATACAAATTTTAGGATTCTTTGTTCTAGTTCTGTAAGAAATGCCATAGGTATTTTGATAGAGATTGCAATGAATCTGTAGGCTGATAGGATGGACATTTTCTCACTGTTAATTCTTCCAATCCATGACCACAGTATATCTTTCCATTCATTTGTGTTGTCTTCAGTTTCTTTCGTCAATGTCTTATAGTTTTCAGAGTATAGGTCTTTCACTTCCTTGGTTAAATTTATTCCTAGGTATGTTATCCTTTTTGATGCAATTGTAAATGGGATTTTTCTTTCTGATAACTTGTTATTAGTGTATAGAAATGCAATCAATTTCTGTATATTAATTCTGTATTCTGCAACTTTACTGAATTTGTTTGTTGGTTCTAATAGTGCTTTGGTAGAGTCTTTAGGGTTTTCTATATATGGTAGCATACCATCTGCAAGTAGGGACAGTTTTACTTCTTCCTTTCCTATTTGGATGCCTTTTATTTCTTTATCTTGTCTAATTGCTGTGGCTAGGACTTCCAATACCATGTTGCATAAAAGTGACAAGAGTGGCCATCCCTGTCTTGGTTATGATCTTAGAGAAAAAGCTTTCAGCTTTTTACCATTGAGTATAATGTTAGTTGTGGATTTTATTTGTCATATATGGCCTTTATTATATTGAGGTAAATTCCTTCTAGTCCACTTTGTTGAGAATTTTTATAAAGGGATGTTGAATTTTGCCAAATGCTTTTTCTACATCTGTTGAGATGATCATATGATTTTTATCATTCATTTTGTTAATATGGTATATGATGTTGATTGATTTGCCATGTTGAACTATCCTTGTATCCCTGGAATTTATCCCACCTTATTATAGTATATGACCCTTTAAACGTATTATTGAATTTGGTTTGCTAATATTTTGTTGAGGATTTTTGCATCCATGTTTATCAGGTATACTGGCCTGTAATTTTCTTTTTTTGTGATGTCTTTGTCTGGTTTTGGTATTAGGGTAACACTGGCCTTGTAAAATGAGTTGGAAGTGTTCCTTCCTCTTTAATTTTCTGGAATAAGTTGAGAAGGATAAGTATTAACTCCTCTTTAAATGTTTGGTACACTTGATCTGTGAAACTCTCTAGTCCTGGACTTTTGTTTTTGGGGAGTTTTTAAATTACTGTTAAATTTCATTACTTGTATTCACTCTACTCAGATTTTCTGTTTCTTTGTGATTCAGTCTGGACAGATTGTGTCTATCTAGGAATTTATCAATTTCTTATAGGTTTTCCAAGCTTTTGGTGTATAATTATTCATAGTAGTCTTATGATTGTTTGTATTTCTGTGGTATCAGTTGTAACTTCTCCTCTTTCATTTCTGATTTTATTTGTTTAAGCTCTCTCTTTTTTTCTTGTTAAGTCTGGCTAACAGTTTATAAATTTGGTTTATTTTTTCAAAGAACTAGCTTTTAGTTTCATTGGTATTTTCTATGGTATTGGGATGATTAAATATCTTAGATATATAAGGAAATTATTTTGTTATATATAACTATTCTTTGCAAAGTTTCCAATATTCTGGGTAATAAATTTCCTTCTTTTATTTAATTTTCAAATGAACTATACTAAACCTAAAACCATATTAGGAAGAATTGTCTTTTATGATACAAAAAAAAAAAAAAAAGACACCCTTCAGTATGATTTGGAGCCTCAGGAAAATGATTATAAATACCAAGTCTCATTATGCTACTGAAACAAGCGTATCAATGGCCAACAGAAGGTGACGTATAAACTTTACTGTAAAACCTTTAGTGTTAGAGTCAGCTCTTCCCAAAGCTACCATAATATAAATTAGCCGTAAACAAATAACCTGAAATTAAAGCTCATATTCATCATCATGGACCACACTTGGAGATTCTCATCCAGTTGGTGTATGGTAGGGCCTGGGAATTTCTATATTTACACATACACCAATCTCTTGCTCATTTAGGTTAAGATCAACTTTTATGGAGAATGCTGGTGCACAAGTCTACAAGTCTCGGTTCAATCCTTGCTCCATCTGAAACAATCAGGTAACATTCCGGTCTTCCATTTTCTTCTCTGTAAAAAGAAGGACTCCCCTCTCAGCTGTAACTTCTAGAATGATTTAATTTAAGATATTGCTGTCCAATATGTTATTTTTCCAGCCCAAATCCTATGATAAAAATACTAACATTATCTTTAGTTTAAAAAAATATTTATTGACATTTGACAGTTTTGCACACGTTACTGAAGGAGTTTGAATATGTTAAACTAAGCCCGCAACGACAATGATCCTTCATTTAAGTGGCTGAAAAAGAGTGTGAACTTTGTGAGCCACATGGAGTGAGCAAATCAAATGTCACATGGATGTGAAAGTTCCCGAGTGGAACAAAGAGGATCCATCGAAAAGAGCTTAAAAAGGTGTGATTTCTGAGCCAGGTTTCACTTGTATTCTGCTGTTCAATGAACCAATTGATGTTTAATTAGTGCTTCTGTTAAATGAGTTTAGGATTTACCTCATTTGCATGGGGAAGAATTTATACTATTGCTCAATGAAGCTGCAGCTAAGTCAGAGTTGAGAAAAAGATGGAAATATATGGCTGACTGCACCAACAGAGTCTCAATCAATTCTTGGCTACAACATGTTAATGAAACAAGCAGCAATTAATTTGCATCTACAAATCTGCAGATTCTCTATTGGATTTTGGCTAGAAAATAGATGAGATGAGAGGACAGCTTCTGAAAAACTCTTATTTTTGACGTGCCTGCTTAACTATAATCATCTCTTATTGAACACACTATTCACGAGAAAATGCACCTCACTTTGAGCACATAAAAATGTGAAAATGAGAGCCACTTGTTTACTGCCTCTGATTTTGGGACAAAAATGCTACAAGATCCATAAAAATACTTCTTATTTGTTTTCTTTAAGAATTATACCATAAAGGATCTTCCGCGTTTGTAGAAGACATTGATCTCTTACCTGATGCTTTGGTTCTTAACAATTCTGATGGTTTACTTGGTTCTCCAATCCCAATGCTGTTCCCAGCAACAACACGAAATTCATATTCGACCCAAGGACTCAAACCAACCACTGTTGCATTGTATGTCTTACCACTGAGAATTTCTGGAACTAAAGAGAAGAGGACACTTCAGGCACCTAAATTGGCAGTAGCTAAAATTATTCAATCAAGAAAGCAATCAAAGAAATACATCATCTGTTTTAAAAAATTATCCAAAATATTTATGTCGCATACCTGTAGAAACAGCTTGCCAACCCACAGAAAATGGTGTCCGAGCTTGAACCGTAAATATTTGAATGGGACTGTTATTATCTGAACCTGGTCTCCAGCTTAGTTGAGAAGTAGTACTGGAGATATGTTCCACTCTCACATCATCAGGGGGACCTGGGGGACCTTGAAAAATACGTTTTATGATGACTATATTAGAAATTATTAAATGCATTGACTTGGGACACAGGTAGTTTATTTTTGCCTATTATGCTTAGAAAATAAAATATTGAGCATAATGTATTTGTAGCACTTTTGAGATAAAGTTCTATTAATTCAGCTTACATAGTGAGAGATTAATTAGAAATGTTTCCTTTGCCAGTGATGGGATGGTTAAATGTTATTTGATAGGGAGCTAATCTAAAAAATTGAGACTCACTCTTATCCGTTCCTCTTACAAAAGCTTACTTAAGTAAACGTAACCAATATGGAGAACTACAGAAACATGTGACTTTGACCCTGCTCTGACAAGAATGGTTTATTATAAATAGAGGCATGTCTAAGTTTTAGGGACTGACACTGCTGGCTGAGGCTGACCATTCCTTAGAAAGAGACACAACCTATTCAATTTAATATCCATATCCATACTACCCATACCCTGGAGTCTTGAAGTTTAGAAAATAAAAAATCTATATATCTCATCTCTTTATCATAATGTGGTTACACAAAGATCTACCATTTACATATTCACATTTTTGACTGTGAATAAACAATGTGCTCATTTATTTTCACCATTTATGCTTACCTCTAACAATGATATCAGCCGCAGCAGATAAACTTTCTAGAGTTGTTTTTACTGTGCATAGATATTTTCCAGAATGATTTAACTGAATATTCCTTATCATCAAATCCCCAACAGATTCCTGCATATAGAAAGGGAAAAAAGGGATGAAAACATAGTTATAGCCAGCAGGTCCTATTTTTTTACGACTGGATAAATACTTAATGTGAAACACTTCTGAAATTAGGAGATACACTAGTATCATTGTAGTTTCTCATATTTGATCCCTTTTATTATTCCCTTTATGATAAATGCATCTGGAACACAAACATTTCTACAAAAAACATAAAACAAAATAAAAACAGATGCAGCTTCATAAACACACAGTGATTATCCATGCAAATAAAGATGGGGAGAAGAATTATGAAAGATGTTGATTTACGCAAAAGACTTGATTCATTTTATTAAGCACTTAAAAATTTCAGCAACTTACTCCTCCAATCCTTTCAAAATGAGCCACTCCTTTTTTTAAGTCTATGACATCTCCATTGAAAGACCACACAAATACAACTTCAATGGAGGGGTCATGGGACACCTGGCATGGTAGGACTATACTCTCGCCAACTGTAACATCCATTTTGGAAGGTGGAAGGGTAATAATAGTCCTCTCTGTTGAGAAAAAATATTATTATTACAAAAACTTATAAAATACTGGTATATGGCTATAAAACACATACTTTGAATGGTTTTGTAATTGTTTGAAGTTGTATAAATACCACCTGGAGTTCTACTATATTTAATATGAAAAATTTTATTCCCTTTTTTCAAATATTTCTGCATTAATTAGTGTAGCTTATACTTGTGATAAAATTAAAGACAATTTTATTCATTCTTTATATAAAAATAGTTTATAAAAAACTGTAAACCTCAAAAGACAATATTCTATACATAGAGAATATACCACATCATTTTTATTTTAAAATTCCAGCCAAACCATTACAATTCATACACAGGTTATAGCTCTAAATAGTTTATGCTATTTTCATACACTATGAGACAAATTATGTTTCTAAGGTCATAACTATGGTAGTTTATGTAGAGATTTATATCATAAGCTTATATTTATGTGTGAATACAAGATATTTATGCTATGTCTGACATAGTGGTGATAACAATTTTCCGTTTTAGCTAAAGGTGCAACATGAACAGGAGAAAAGTACATTTTTCCTTTTTCATGCAGGTTTTGCAATGTTAGGATATATATCTATCATAAAAACCCTCTCTATAGAAATATCAGTCTCGATGTCAAACTTCATTCTACAAGTCCTAGCATTTCATTGATCAAACTTTCTAAGGGAAATTCCAAATGTCTTCCAGTTGGACTCAAGAATCCTCTATTTTTCTGATTAAAGGAGACTCATGGTGGTAGATCATTTTTAACTACTTTTTTAACAATAAAATAAACAGTTTCAATTTTAGAGTGCTAAGAATTGACCAAAACGGCAATTCAGCAACCATAAAAAACCCTTGGACATATATTGAATTTAGATATGCATTAACTGAAATAAACACATTTCAAGGAATTTACATTTAAGAATTACTGGTCTGGGTAAATTATAGTGAAAAAGTATCGTACATAAAGAAATTTCAAAACAGTGAAATTTTGTACGTAGACAAGTTTCAAACAGTGAAATGAGCCAAAGAAAACAAATATGAAAATACTAATTTGAAAAGATATATGCGCCCCTATGTTCATTGCAATATTATTTACAATAGCCAAGATATGGACAGAATCTGAAACTCCATCGGTAGATGAATGGGTAAAGAAGACATATATACATATATGTGTGTGTGTGTGTATACATATATATATACACATATATATATATATATATACACGTATATATATATGTATATATACAATACAATATTTTTAAAGCAAAATGCTTTATATTTAACACCTTTTGTTTTAGGTGTACAGCATAGTGATTCGACATTTATATACATTATGAAATGATCACTTTGATGAGACTAATGACCATCTATTATCATACAAAGTTATTACAATATTGTTGACTATATTCCCTATGCTGAACATTACATCCCCATGACATTTATTTTATGACTGGAAGTTTGTACCTCTTAATCCTGTTGTTATTGTTTTTTATTGAAGTACAGTTGACATACAATATTATAAGATGTAATAGGGTAATAGTGACACATGAATAACAACATAAACTTACAAACTGCAAAAAAATATATTTTTGGTGTCAATTTTATATAATACATTAAATAATATTTTATTAAAGTTATATCTTGATTATTGTAAGACATATGCGCCCCTATGTTCATTTGCAATATTATTCACAATAGCCAAGATATGGACAGAATCTAAAACTCCGTCGGTAGAAATATGTGTATTATATTTTATAATGTTTCTGCAAATTTATTTGTTAGGTTATTGGAATTTATGTTTTAAGCAACTTCATTTTCAGTTGATGTAACTGACATCAGTCACTCATGGCAAATTCAAAATCACAAATACGTTTTGATAATGTTGGACCTTGCAAAGGATCTTTCTGCTAGTACAACTGTTGAATTGTTAAGGGTATTTTATAGGTTGTGGCAACATTGGAATAAATTTCTGATACATTATTTTGAAATACGTGTTTTGGAACATCCAGAGCTGATGGTTCTCATGGAACAATTTTTTTCTAAAAAGATTTAACTCTTCCCACAAATCAATTTTGTGTAAGTCTGAACTAAATTTTAAACGTAAATTTAGACAATGGAAATGTTCTTCTGACATATCCTGTAACTTGTGGAGCTTGTACGGGAAACTGAAAGTGGCTTAATGATTTCTATATAATACAAAATGCCTCTTTATACATTCTATTGCAGTATCTTCAATTACAAGGAAACACTCGTTAACATTTAGTTCACCGGCAGCTTCATATGAAGATAGTGGTTTTTTTCATTGAATGGAATAATCTTTAAATTTAATTTCTATTTTTAAGCCTCTGGATATTAGCCTTGCAATGTTGCACAGATTTTCAAAACCATGTATACTAAACTCTTTGAAGAATTAGAATAACTCTGTGATATGCCTTATTGTGGATGCCACGTGTAGGCTGTTATTTTGTAATACTCTAAGGCAAAGTTTACCACCTGAGCATTGACAATTCCTGTCCTGGTGCCAAGACTGAAGAGCTAATATTTCTGCAAATGTCACATGGACATCCTGTGGGGACAGATGGACAAGCTGACCTCTCACATTGGGTTCAGGCACTGACTGTTTTCTGAGTCTCTTATTCTCCTGTAGCCCTTGCTGCCACCCACTGAAGTTTCTGCGGCCGCTGCCACCATCAGTTCCACAGATCTGGCCCAAGGTCTTGATGTGCCCACCTCCTGAGGGCCTCAGCACTCTTGATTGCCACGAGGCATATGGGTGTACATGGTACCAACAGCTTTACATGAACACCGCCTGCTTAGTGCACAGGCCTAAGCCCGTGTGTACATGGGCTGCTGCTGCTGAGCCATAAATGTGTGCGTGTGCTGCCACCCAGCTCATGCACAGGCTCCACTGTCCCAATAGATTTCACTTACAAAACACTAGGTCAGAGACAAAATAATTACGAATTTTAAGACAGTGACAGCAGAGGATTAGACCAAACGTGGGGCATTTCTCAAGACAGGATACTGTGCAACTGGGTTGCTCACCAATGGAGCGAGTCCTGGATGCTACATTGAGAAATGTAGGGGTTTTTTTGCTGAAGGAAAATGGCAAGCTTTGGAAATGTGAAGCAGAGGGAATGTTATAAAGACATACCAGTATCTGTAGGGTGAAAAAATTGATTATATTTAAAAAGAAGTAGCTTCTACGTGGGCAGACTTGTTATCCAAAAAATGAGGGATGCATGATAATCTGAGCATAGCTCCCACTGTGAGTACCCTTCTGTGTGGGTGTGGGGTACATGGACAAGAATACTTATAACTACTGTATCCTCTTCCCACACTACGTGCAGAACTGTCCTAATCCTGTGTAGGTGGCTCTCTAACTGCCACAAGGCTGCGATTGCTACACTAAAGAATTCACTTTTACAACCACGCACAGCTCCAGCCTGGACCTCTGAATACCCCACTGAGACAAAATCACTTACAGAGAAAGGGAGAGTTGTTCTTGAGCAGTAGAAACATACAAAATCTATGATGCTATTTTAGGGAAAGAACGAGGACTAGTCTTGTCCATTAACAAGTTCAGATTCCTCTTTTGTATACACTTTAACTTAAGAAACTCATATGAGAGAGGTTTTTTTCAAGCCACTCAAATTACTCTGAGGGAGTGGAGGGATGTACGTACACGTACCTCGTCTAATCCTTTCCTAGGAGCATGTATATACCAGTAGAGTAGGTGCAATAACATGAGGCTCATCATTAACACTGAAACACTTCTTAGTATTTATGGACAAATGAGGTCATTAGGGCCTGAATTATAACAAATTATAAAGGCAGAAATTTGACCATGCTAGACTCTATCATTTGTCAAAACTTGAAATTATTTAAGCCTCTTTCTCTGAAACTAAATAGAGCAAGAGTTACTCCTTTTCATTTCTTATGATTTTATTCTCCTTGCATATTCCTTATGTATTTGTAGAAATTCTAGCCCAATAGTTAAAAAATTTTAGCAGGAATTTCCTGGAGAACATTTTCAAATGTGAATTGTTCTGCTTCCACCAGAAATACCGAGTTAGTAGGTCTGTATGGTGAAGCTAGAATATGGATTTTTAACAGATTGCTTCTTCAGTTGATTTTGATGTAGTCAGTCCAGGACCACGTCTTAGGAAATACTGCTTCAGGTTTTGAAGTTTGAACCTGAAATTTCTATGTAAGAAAAATCCAAGCTATGAAAAATACATTGTCTGAAAGTCTCTAATGCTTAGAATCAGTAAAATGTTATGGTTAGTAACGCTTCAAAAAAATAAAGATGGACTTCCAAAGTTATTTAACTGTAATTAATTCTGTATACTATATCTACTTTTAGAGTTGCACAGTACATTTTAGTATATTAAAAGCTCTGAGAATTCCTGGATTAAAGAAACTTTTTAAAGTTTATTCAATTCTAGACTTCCTACACTTAATAGATAGGGAACATATCCATGTAGTAAAATCAACTTTTAATGAATATTAAATAATAATAAAATAAAAATCCATTTTTAATCCATGTAATACCTCTTAATACAGCTTGGAATATAAGGGATTCTGAGAAACAATGTTTGGAAATACGACTTTCACGGTTCAAGAGGATCAGCACACAAACACACACACACATATACGTGTGTCTTTTTATTCAAAATACATACACATATATAAATACATATTTATGAGACAATCACATAAATTTGACCTCTAAATAATTTAGAAATGTTAATTTTTAAGATAAGAAAAGTGCGGGGCTGGCCCCGTGGCCGAGTGGTTAAGTTCGCGCGCTCCGCTGCAGGCGGCCCAGTGTTTCGTTAGTTCGAATCCTGGGCGCGGACATGGCACTGCTCATCAGACCACGCTGAGGCAGCGTCCCACATGCCACTACTAGAAGAACCCACAACGAAGAATACACAACTATGTACCGGGGGGCTTTGGGGAGAAAAAGGAAAAAATAAAATCTTTAAAAA